ATAGGAAATAGAAAACACTGCATCAAATCACATTTAATTCAAAGCTGATGATACATCTAACCCAATGAATGCCATTCAAAAGCACTATATGTATGCTGCATTCCATGGGCTCTGAAAGTACACTGCGCAAAAAAAAGGGGGGACAGTTCTATATCTCCTGTTCTACTGGGCCGATTGACGAAATTCAAATTATGTTCTTCATGTCTCGAAAGTGCGACTTAGGATATATATTAGATTTATATATAGCTGTATTCTAACACAGTTATTTTGACACAAAATCGGACTTTTTCTGAAATAACATACCAATTTTTTTTTCCATATTTTGATTCTACGATTCAAATTATGCCTAAACATGAAATTCTGTAAAATTTGGAGCGAAATTTACAGAGAAATTCACAAATTTATGTTGGCACTTTTCTTCAGTTTGTACCAAGAATAGTTCACTTGGCGAACTTCTTAATATATGGCAGTCATAATCGTTCCTTTTTTCAAATAATGTTCTTCATATTATATTTTTAATTATAATTGTTATTATTTTAAGTAATTTTTTCTTTTTCGAATTTTATTTTAATTGTTTCAGTTGCATGGTTTCTTTTGAATAACTGTTTTAAAAATTTCTTTTTACCCATTCAAACTGCATAGTTCAAATAAAAGGTTCATCGTTTATTTATGTATTTATTTTTTTTTTCCAAATAGTTTTTTTTTATAATTTTTTTTGTCATAGTTATTATTTTAGGCAATTTTTAGACTTATATTTTAATTGTTTGTGTCGCATTGTCTCCTCAGATAATTGTTTTAAAATTTTCTATTTAATCATTCAAACCGAGCATTTAAATATATTTATTAATATAAATTTTCCAAGATTTGATTTTATTTATTTGAATTGCGGTTCTTTCGGAAGAATACTTTGTGTCCCAGACTACGGTGCATCTGGAAACTGAATATATTAAAAGAGAAACAGTAAAGCACAGTTAACACGCCTTTCAATGATCCGTTCAGAAAAGATATATAAATGAGAAAGATGCATAACCAACATTTTAACTTATGATGATTTACATATACAGTCAAAAGTTGTTAAACCGGACTCGTCGGGACTTTGGCGATTCTGGATTATCGATTTTTCCAGATTATAGATTATCAGTTTAAATCTGGTAAGATGGCATGTAGAAATTATAAAATTAAAAATATGAAACCGCAATTTATGAAATAAAGAACAATTATGATCTAAAGCTTTACAAAAAAAAAAAAAAGCTTAATATTTATTTGTTTACTTTATTAAACATTTCTTTCAATGTAAGTTGTTTAAGTTGCTTCGTTTTATGTGATAATACTTTCTCTTTAATTCTATTAAACAGACATAATTTCTTGTTCAGTTACAAAGTTCTGCTGTCCAAGTCCTATAATTGCTGTGTCGAGAATACCGACTAATTTGTCAATCGAAATTTTTTCGTTTTTCAATAACTTCTGTGTCACTTTCTTCACTATCAGAAGCGAATTATAATGACGAGGAATTTGATTTAAATCATATCAAAGACGGAGTACATCGAGATGAAATACTACATTTAGTAAGGAATTATAAGCCAAATAAAATAAAAACATCTGCCCTGAAGATACGGATAGTGCTGACAGATCAACTTCCAATTCATTGCGCCGAAATGAACCTAAATTTTGACATGTGAAAGGAAGAATCAAAAAAGTTTAATAAAAAAAGAGATATTAATAAATATATGCCAAATTCAATTAACATTGAGGAGCTAAAATTTTAAGAGCTAATTTTTTAAAAACTACTCGTATGATTTTTGCAAAACTTGGCAGTCTGGCATAATTTGAGTCGTAGAATCGAAATATGTAACAATATTGGTATGCTTTTTCAGAAAATGTCCGATTTTGTGTCAAAATACCTATGTTAGAATAGTGCTATATATAAAACTAATATATATCCTATGTCGCACTTTCGAGACATGAAGAACGTAACTTGAATTTCGTCAATTGGCCCAGTAGAACAGGAGATATAGAACTAACTTTTTTTTTTTTTTTTTTTTTTTTTTTTTTTTGCGCAGTGTACACCTAAAAAGCACTGTTATGGGATATCAAGGCAATGTGTCTCACCTGAGCTAGTGAACATAATCATTGGGCTATGGATGATTAATATATGGGTTTAGATGAAAAGAATCAAGTTTACATTTTTATGCGAAGGAAATACTATCATATCAGTGCAACTTCCCATCATTTTTGAGTGATAAAGAATTAACTAGCTGAATACTCAATTAACTTCTCAGTATTTCCTCAGATTCGACACATAAAAGATTTGTTACATGTCAAAAAGTTTATATATTTATATTTTAATATGAATGCCTTATAGCAACAAGCACAGCAGCATCATGGACAACCCCAGAATATGTCTGGTTTGATACAGCCTCAAAATGACTATAGCATCCTGTTGACTCGGTGCTCCACTAAGTATCACAGTATATTTGAACTCGCAACAAAATACTGTAAAGTTGTGTCCCATATCTGTAAATTTAGTACCTATGTTTTAAGTTATTCATGGTCCACAACAGAGGAAAAGTGCCATAGGCAAATGATGAACAGCTTATGGTCAACTGTGAAACACAGCCATTGAAACAAGCTAGGTAATCATGTGATATACATGTGTATAAACACTCTTAATATATATAACTAAATAGGAAGTAGTGTGAAAATGGTCATCTTCAAAGCCTTGTATGTATTTGTATGTTACAGGTTACTTCTCAAACTGTGCTTTTTTTAATTGATTGAACTTTCTCCTCATAACAGATATAAAAATGTCAGCAGAGTACTATGGTTATCAGTGGTCAAAACATCTCAGCCCACATACACAGACTCTCCTGTTGTATTTCTCACAGCTCTGCTTTTGACAATCTCTCATTAGCAAGAATCAATAACATCTCGTATTCAGGAATTTTTCATTTACATTACAATGACTTCCAAGCATAAGACGCTGCTACCAGTGTTTTTCAAATTTACGAGAGGTCATGATGTCTTACCATTAGAAAACAAAAATTTTGGACAGAAATTTCACATTATCATATTACCAGTACAGAATATGAAGTGTTATAGTGTACTGTATACATACTTGCTAATACGGCACTCGAAAATCGGGAGATTTTTCTTAACAAGAAGATTTTCAATGATAAAAATATATTTTTTAATGATGAATTAACAATAATTAGTTATTAATTAATATCTGAAAGTTCAGTTACTAACCCTTTAATGCAAATAATACATTCTGCAGTATTAACAGTTTGGTCCTTTGTTTCCACAGGGAAAAATTTAAATTTTTTTCAATAGAACGGCAATCACTGTCCTAGTGTTTTTGTGTACGCACATGTTTGAGAGCATCAGACCTTCCATCATGCAAAATTGAAAGATCAAAATGGCAAACAGTACACATCGCAAAAGTATTATATTTCCTTGAGGAAATAATAGAAGGAAAGTCATCTGTGTATGGTTTTTGAAAAGAACACGAGTATTTTACTTTTTTGCAGACATAACCAAAATAAAATATCGTTATTTCTTAAACTATTTCTCGAAAGCATGCGCATTCACACAGCTTAGCGACAAGATGAGAGAAATAACAATCTCGATCTTGCTTTATGCTCATTGGCTAATATACGCCAGATGACACGCAGTAGCACTCAATGCTCATTTGAGAACTGGAACACGACATTTCCGAACACATGCTCTCTCATTCACAAAGCAGAAGTGTGCTGATGAAACAAACTTCTCACTGATTAAACTACTTCGGTTTTCTATGCAGTCTAGAGTAAAACGGATGCTTTAAGATGCCCCAAATCACTTTTTGGGGGGTGCAAATAACAAAGTATTAAGCCAAGCTACATAAAAATCGTGAGAAATTTTAAGAATAAGTGAAAATCATGAGAAGTATTGTAAGGATCTTAAGTTTTACTAACGTTTATTTTATTTTAAACCTTTACTATCCTCTCTTATTTTCCACTTCCGGCCAGAATTAAATGTGTTAACTTGTTTATGCAAATTGTATTTGCTAATGCCCAAGTATTTAAGTTGTGGCTTTTTGCCAAGAGTTAGATAGAGGGAAAGAGAGCCGCCTTGCCACTGCATTCCGCACGAGTTTTTAATCAGCTGCTGTCCGCCTTTAAGGCCAGAGGTTTAGTCCTCTTAATATTTAGAACATATTGTAGTTTCGGCAGTTTGCATACTACATACGTAATAATTTAAAAGGCCAGTCTTAGTGTTAGTCAACTGTGTAAAGCACTCGAAGTTAACTCTTATTTTTAGTTAGTTAGTAGTTTTTATATTTTTACATTCAAACCAGAAGTGGTTGGTCTCTGTATCCCGAAGTGCCGGGAGCACCTGTAATATTGTGGACAATAAACGCTAAAGTTAACCCTTCCTGCTTGTGTTGTCAATTCCACACATATTTGAACATAGCTTGAGTAAGCTCCCTGTTACTATTCAGAACACGTCATATTTCCGAAACAAATCAAAAGACTTACAAGTCCTGACAGTATGTTGTAAATCGTGTTGGCGCGAAAACAGTTGGAAATCCAGAGAGTTGGCAACTCTGAGTACATTTTATTATTCATATACATATACATTCATGCCATATACAGAATAAAGTGATATAGTGTACAGTATATTTTATTATTATTGATATTCCCCTAATGTGCCAGATTTATAATTAAATTTCACTAAATTTATATATCTTGCATAGATATCCTGTTCTACATAGCATTCGTTGTTATCCATGGTACGTTCTGGAATGAGTTATTCATAGATAGAGGATGTACTATTACTGTATCTACTAATAACTTTTGATACTTCAATTTATATATAAATGAAAACCACAAATTTTATTCAGTTCAAAATACCAAATAAATAATAAAAAGTATTTACATAAAATTTCACTTTTCATTTGTTTACACAATATTAAAAGGTTTTATAAAACTGCAGAATTTAAGAATAATAGAAAATCTAACCTGACATTCAACTGTTGCAATGAGGCAATCTAAAGCAACTCTAGCTACTTTATCAGGATCTACAGGTTCATCCAGATAGAGTACACCCTCCTCAGTAAATTGATAGCCCAAAAGATGAAATACAGAACTACCTCCAATTAACTGACTTTCCACTGAATGCTTGTAAAATCCACTATATAGCTAAAATTAAGACTGCTTAAAAAAGTACACAATTATAACAAAGGACACACATTCATACTTTTTCAAAATATATATTCAATTAACGTAGAAAAAAAGTTTTACACTGCAAAGACAAAAAAAAAAAAAAAAAAAACTGACAAAATTATGCAAATTATCTCATAAATTCTTTTGGTCTCAAAACACTTGCATAAAATCAATATGAAAATTTTAATCATATTCCAATAATATCACTTAAAAGTATCATTTCAATGACTGTTAGCATATCGTCAAAGACTATGCTTTTTCAAAATACAGATTCAGTCCCCCACCAAATATATATATATATATATATATATATATATATATATATATAACCAGTTTATGCAAAAAACATTTTTAAACTTAAGTTTGTTAAATTATGCAAATTTCATATAAAGTGCTTTGGCTTTAAAATATATTAATATGAAAAATAGAAATATATTAAAATAATATTTGCAATAACCCTAAAAATACTATTATTTTGAAGTGTGTTTGCATTCTATTAAAGATAATAAAATAACATTTTTGAATTTTTTTAAATTTTATTTAAAAACAACTTGTTTTTAAAATTATATATATATATATATATATATGTCATAATAAAAGCACAAGGAAAAGCCGGAGCAGTGTCGATGCGTAATTAGATCCATATTGAAGAGGAAGTAATCTGATTGCGTCGTAAGCTAATGTGTTGACTTCGTAAATAAAACTTGGCAATAGATTTTAATTCCATTTTTATTTCCAATTGACATTTGTGGCCACAATCACTTGGCACTCTAGTCGTGCCTTTCCACAGAAGATTTACATTTTTGATATTGTTGGGATAGAAAGCTAGCCAGCGAAATTACATCTTAGCAGAGTAGAGGGCAAAAGCTGAAGTGCGTAGTTATAAAAGATGGAAGCACGCAAAGAGAAAAGTTTTGGTTTACAATTCGGTGATTGGTCGAGAGGGATCTGCATTATGGGTTAGTAAGATCGCATGATTAATTTGAATGACGCAGTTTAGACTTAAGCGCTATTTTTAGGACAGATAGAGGAAGTTCTCAAATGAAATAGAAAATAATGGAAGTTATAGTGAATTAAGTTTAGAAGTTTGCTTTCATATTTTTTATTACTATACATATATATATATATATATATTTTATGTTATATCAGTAAGATAGTTTCAATTTCTCAATATAAGAAAAATTTTTCACTGATGATAAAGTGGCACTGTGAAGATCTAAAGCATGGTATAAACTCCGACAAACAGCTTATGCAATTTTTAATCCTTATATATCATGGCATTCAACTCAAGATATAGTGGCAAATGCTCCCAGAAGTAATTAATTAAAACTAAAATTAATTAAAAATGAACACTGTTTAAGAAAGTAGATTGAAGGGATATATGTCTAAACTTTGTAGCAATGATTTAATGCCACAATACTCCAAACATGTCAGAAGGCTCACTAAAAGGAAGCACAAAGACTTTAAAATAAGAGACTCACAAAATAGACTATAAAATCAACTTTATTTAAAATTAAAAGGTAAAATTCAAAATTGAATACATGACGATAAGCCTACATCAAATGTCAACTAGGAACAAGCAGGAACGGTGAAGTACAAATGGAAGTGAGTGGCTTGGCAAAAAGTTCAAGTCTTTATACTTGCGTTATAACGAGTGTGCACGGGTGCAGCACAGCAAACGTGAATACTGCATGCAAATGTTAAAATACACATACTCTTATTGGAATGCAAATACTCCAACACAGTACAACCTCCCTCACACATGTGCCAAAGGCATGGAGAGATCAGAGATACCTAGGATTAAACTGGACCCTTCTGCTTAAATAAGTAATTTACACTGGAGGTATAGTGCCCTTTGTTTTACCGTAGGAGTCTGCTCAGGAACCGATGCTACAGTATCTGAAACTAAAAATGCTGGTTTCAGGCAATCAATACTGATCACTGATTCTTTTCATTTAATAAGACGGGTAAAATTCTTTTTAGTTCTTTTTAATATTTTAAAGGGTCCATCGTAAGGATGAGTCAGTGGTGGTTTCACTGCATTGTGTCTCACAAATACATGAAGTTGGGTGTAGGAAATACGTACTTATTGTTAACATGTGCTGATATATGTACCAGTGCCATCTCTTCTCATTGCCTCATACAACTTCTGAAAAAATGAAATTGGATCACAAGAATTAGAAACTTGGGTGGGTTGCATATTCTGCAGGGAGATGAATAGTCATTCCACAAACCATTTCCAAGCAAGCTCCTCCCAGGTTCTTTATGTGTTGCCTGAAGACCAAGGAGTACAAATGGAAGACTCATTGTCCAATGAATATATATGGGTTGTACAGAAATGATTGACACAACGGCTCTCTCAATGAAACTATTATACTATACGAAGGGAAAACAAGTGAAATAGACACAAGGGGACATCAGTTACACAGAATGCATAGATGGAGCTGGCCGCAAGGGAATGGTAATCCTCAGCATCTGTCCCTTTTGCCATGGTCATTGAGAGCATGGACAGCAATGATGGAAGGTGATTATCATGGTCAGGCAATAGATAGGAATAGATTATAGAAGGAAGAGATACAGGGTAGCGAGGTCCATCGTCACATGGTGTTGATGTGTGGTAAAAAAGTACCCTCAGGGCATACCATATCTCGTTGGTTGGCCAAGTTCTGCAGTGGAGTGGAGACCACAACCAAAGGTGTCAGTGCGGGACGAGCGGCAACATCGCATACACAGCAAATGTGACAGCAGTGTCGGATTTGATCACGGCAAACAGACATATAACACTCAACAAGTTGCAGCAAGAGACAGGGTTTGAATAAGGAACATTGCAGGTGATTGCACATGGCGATTTGAAGATGACAAATGTGTGTGCAAAGTGGGTGGACCTCGGATCAAGACCTCAGGCTAGATCTTGCTTGATAACATGAAGGACACAGTCAAGGGCCAACAAATTGAATCTTCTGCGGAATTGCATGCAATTGTCCATAGGTGATGCACCAGCACTGGTTTACCAAACCCTTCGGAACCTCCCAGCCAGATGGCAGAAGTGAGTCAGGGGCCAACAAATTGAATCTTCTGCGGAATTGCATGCAATTGTCCATAGGTGATGCACCAGCACTGGTTTACCAAACCCTTCGGAACCTCCCAGCCAGATGGCAGAAGTGTATGCCATAGGCACAGATTATTTCTAACTGATGTACTATCAGTTTTTTATCAATAAATTGTATTCTTCTCTGTGGCAGCATTTGTGTCATTCATTTCTGTACGACCTAAATAATTATGGAACATTAATGCTCCTTTTACTGAATGATGGAATTTCTCAAGTAATCCACTACCTGCAAGACAGTATGGAAAAGTACAAATTTGGTAAATACCAAGAATTTAATTACGAGTACTAAACATGTCATGACTCAAAAAGTGTCGTCCTTGGTCAGTACTTATGATAGTGGGAACTCCAAACCTAGAAATCCAATAGATAAAAAATGCTTCAGCAACAGTTTCTACCAAAACATCCTTCATTGGTATTGCTTCCAGCCATTGGAAGAACCAGACGATGAAAGTTAAAAAGCATGAGTATCATTCCGAAAATGGCAAGGGCCCAACAATATCCAAATGCACATGTTCAATATGTTCACTGGGTACAGCGAAGGATTGTAACAAACTATGAGCATTCCGCATGACTTTGGACCTCTGGCAGGTGATGCAAACATGAGTCCAAGCAACACAGTACAGTCTTTTGACACCGAAGACCACACAAAATGAGACAGAATGAGTCTTTGTTGATCATATACCGGGATGAAAAAGTCCATGGAGAGAATTAAACACTGCCTTTTGCAACTTGTTAGGAACAAAAGGACAGATCTTGTCACCACTTCACAATATATATTTAAACCAGGGGGAAAGCATTCATCTTTTAATGAACTATGTTCTGTAGATAGCATTTGACTCAGTTTGGAATCACTTTTGAGACTGCAGTCTGCACAAAGCTTGTCATATGCAGCTTACTGATAGCAGCAATTCATGATAATGCATCTGGCATGATATTTTCTGGTCCAGTAATGTGTTGTATTGAATTAAAAAATATAATTCATATATCTTATGTGCCTGAGCGATGCAGAATCTAAATTCTTTCAAAATAAAAATATTAGAGGGCGGTGATCTGTATATACTGAAAAATATTGTCCCTCGAGATTATGTTAAAAATGCTTTACAGTGCAATAGATAGCAAGTAATTCTCTATCATATATGCTGTAATTAAGTTTTAACTAGAGTTAGTTTTCGTAAAAAAAAAAAAAAAAAAAAGGTAGTGGTTGAAGATGTTTATATGTTTATTGTGTGTTTTATGTGTTTATGTGTGAATAGAGGCATGGTAACCAAATGCTGCTGCATTGCTAGATCAGTTTTACATTTTTCAAAGACCATAGTTGTTTCCGCTGTACAGAGAACAGGATGTTTATCATTTTTCTTAGAATTTTTCAAAAGAGAATGAATCCGTCCTTGGGTAGTTGCTGTCTTAGGAAAAAATCACTGATCAAAATTCAGCATTCAGCTAGATCTCTCTATACTTGGCAAAATCAAATACAGTACAAAGTCTTTAATCCGGACTCGTCGGGACTTCAGCGATTCCAGATTAGGAGGTTTTCTGGATTATGGATCATCAATTTAAATCTGGTAAGATGGCATGCAGAAATTATAAAATTAAAAGTATGAAACCGTAATTTATGAAATAAAGAGCAATTATGATCTAAAGGGTATAAAAATTTACAAAAAAAAAGCTTAATATTTATTAGTTTACTTTATTAAATATTTCTTTCAATACAAGTTGTTAAGTTGCTTCGTTTTATGTACTAATAATTTCTCTTTAATTCTATAAACAGGCATAATTTCTTGTTCTGTTACAAAGTTCCACTGTTCAAGTCCTGTAATTGCTGTGCCAAGAATACCAAATGACATGCAATCGAATTTTTTTCGTTTTT